GATAGAACTTCGTAAAAAATATATAAGAAATTAAAAAATACTTAATTTATTTGGTTATCTTGTGCAAAAGCAATCAGTAAAATTTTCATGGCTCCAGGCCACACAAGTTAGGTGAATTAGTCAAGTTATTATTTATTTGTCACATTTTTGAAAAACAAAAAATTTGCGACGCAAAAAAAATAACACAATTTACCTAAAATGTCCCATTAGGAGATAACTTAACCTTACTGAAATACATATTTTGTACGAAGTAATCACAATGATTTCATCTAGTGGCGATAAAAAATATTCATTTAGCTCTGAAAGTATTAATTTGTAAATTAATAGTATTGTAAGAATAAAATTTGTTAAATGAGGCAGTTATAGTTTGATCTTATCGACAAGTTTGCTGTTAGAATCTAATTTGACAATAGCCACTCAGTTTAATTTGCCTGGTAATAGGAATTAGACAGACCGTTGCATGGTCTCGTTCGATTGTTTTTTTTTATATTTTTAATGTTAATTTTCAATGTTGATTTTCAATAAATTGTTCTTTCGATCCAATAAATTTTCAAAATTTAGATCTTTTTGATAAAATGTTATTCGATAAAATATAATTCAAGCAAATGTTATTCGAAAAAATATATTTTCGATAAAATGTATTTTCGATCAAATTTCCAATTCAATTAAATGTTTTCCAATCAATTTTGTGTCACCTGAATGAGAATAAGTAGCTAGTCCATTTAAGTGCAACAATATTTATTATAATAATTAATTTTACCTTGACTGTGGTTGAATGTAGGCTTGGAGCATTAAGTATTTTGGTCAGTAGTATTGTTTTGAATATATTTTCCTGACGTGACATATCAGTGATTCTGAATAACAACCTTCAAGATGATTGGAAGCGGTAACATCAAAAGGTTTCAATGTGTTTTAAAACTTAAGTCTGTTTACTGGAAACAGTCGCGCGTGTTGTGTAGTCTAAATGTTTTATAGTTAAGTTATTTTTTTTAATAAGTATTTTGAAACGGTTAATATATTATACAGCTCACTATAAAGCCCTAACCGAGCTGGGTAGTCAAAACAGACTAACCTTAGCCTGGGTACCAGGTCACAGTGGGCATATGGGCAATGAAGATGCTAATTTACTAGCCCAAGAAGGAGTTTTAAAGGCTCTTATTGGCCTAAAACCCTTACGTGGAGTCACAAAGACAACTATCAGAACATGCACAAAACAGTGAATGTTTAAAAAAATTCAACAGTGATGGAAAAACTCACCAGGATAGAGACAGGACATAGAGTTCTTAAACGGACTATCGCCTAAACTCACCGAGCATCTACTAAGCCTTAATAGGACAAATACTAGAATACTAGTAGGTCTATTAACAGGACATTGTAGGCTTAATAAACATATATATAATATCGGTCTGACAGAAGAGACCTTGTGCCGATTCTGTCAGGTAGAGGAGGAAACGTCAGAACACGTATTGTGCTACTGCTCTCTAGCATGTCTAAGGTTCCTCACACTTAGGCAAGAAAAACCAAGGGCAACTAGCTATACCGGAGAACTACTTTCCAGTCTATGGAGTCTACTACAAAAGACCGAATTAGACAAGGTTCTCTGAAGAATGATTAAAGGATATTCACAATAGATCTGAAAAGGTCGGGGTGGGGGAGATCGCATAGACCACAGTCTTAATTAAATCTAATCTATAATATATAAGTATATTTATTAGTAGAATTACAGTTTAAAGAATATTATCTTTAAACTGTGGTAGAACATATATTTGTGTGTTAGAGCCAGATTATGATGAGTCCAAATACTGTCCTTTTTAGGTTTTTATGATGTCACATTCATCTTTTAATCTACTTTTATATGTATTTTCAGGTTGAAGTGATCTTAAGAAATAAATATACAAACATAAATAAAATACTGAAAAAATGTGTTCTGACTTCCTCGCGACAACCAGTGAAAAAGGACCAAAAACAAAAACAAAACTGTTACAAAATATAGCCCATTTAATGTAAAACAAGAGTTTTGGGTTTATCTTAGTTTTGTTTGTGTTTTCTGGAACTTGAAAAACGCAAACAAAACTAAGATAAACCCAAAACTCTTTTTTGATTAGTGGAAAACCGTCTTTAGTTACCTCTCCAATTGGAAAGTTACCACAGCGAGAGTATTGCTACTGAAGAGGTGTGTAGAACCTGGCTATTCAAAATTGTAACCCTGATTTCCCAAAAATAATGTTATGTAGATTATAAACGACATACAATAGGAATTCACGAATTACAATAAGACGTGTTAACTGTTCAAAGCGTTTTTTTTTTTAACTATTGAATAATACATAATATCCACAACAACAATAATTATATAGTTTACACTCACTTTATAACTCAACAGAATGTTTGTAAGTAATTTTCTTGCCGATCGAAGGTGCGACGTAATAAGATAAAAATTGGTGTTAGAGTTGATCCGTGTAAAACATCCTGAGTAAAGAGCAAACTCCAGGAGGCGGATCCGTGCTGTTAGCGATGAACCTGTTATTCCACCTTTCAAAACAATAGAATACCTAAATTGGGAAGTCACAAAGTAGGAGGGGCTAAAGGAAGCTTTGCAAACAATTTTAATAGTAGTTTGTGTAACTTGAGTTGTACACTATATTTTTCCTACGACTCACTAACGAAAATATTAAAAAATATTTTAAATTATTGAGATAAAATAACTAATTAAAAAAGAGACTTTCACTAATTTATAAAATAAAATAAACAAAAAAAAAGAATAAAATAAATTCGCATGACAAGCAAGCACTATGACCTCACCGCCATTGAGTCTCCTAAAAAATTTTGCTTTAATACTACTACTAATTAAGTTGACATCATTTATTTTTACTATAATTAACGAATTATTTATAATTATAGTTCAAATCAAAATATATACATATACATTTATTTATTGATTTTAACCAAGAATAAAGCATTTTAATGTATATTTAATCTCAATAACTAAAAAATATACTGACAATTAGTTTGACACAATTATCACTTATTTAAAATTTTAAAAATAATAATAGTTGGGTGATCAAAACATAAACTGTGATTGGTGGATTTCATTTTATTACTACTTCGAATGGATATAAAACATATTCGTTCATTTGAACGCAATAGCATACTTTTTCGTTTTGTAGTATGTGCGTAGATAAGCTAATATTATGTGGTTGTAAAAAAAATATATTATACATCCCATGAGCTATTTTTATAGATTTTTTGAGAATAAGAATATTTGTATAATAAGGAGAGTATTGATTATCATCAAAAGGAAGACTGTTATTAAGTAAATTAATAATATCAATACCTACTTTGAGGTTATGCTAGTGATGTATTTATATTTATTTTGTTATAATAACCAGTATTTATTAGTTAAAGAAATATAAATAAATGAGTTTTTCGTTTAAACCTGAAATTACTGTGATTTCAAACGATTTGCAGATTATGTTTAATAATGCTGGTTTTTTGCTACTATTTGATTTGAGTACATAGGCTAAATAAATATAAAAGCAGAAATTTCCAGCAGACCTATTTTTGAAAAATGTTAATTAGTATTGGCAACAAATGAGAAAATGCGAATATCTGTGTTTAAGTTGTTCTAAATTTCAAATTAGTATTTGTTTAACGTTAAGATAACAAACAACTTCCACTAAGCACTTATTGTCTTTTTCGAGTCCGACAATACCCCGTAATCAGAGGGTATGGATGTAGACAAAGGGGAATTACCTCGGCTGAATATATTTCGACCCTGCCGCCCAACATATTTACTCTAAAGCAGGGGTTAGGGGTTAAAGCTCGGGGGTTGAGCCTAGATTTAATCCACTGGCAGTAACTGCATATACGTATGAGTGTATTTTACACGTCAGCTGCTAGCCAGAGGTGTTTGTTATGTGTTTTTGTTATTTTGTTATGGGTGTTTGAGTTACTTTATAACCAGATTACGTTTTTATCGATATGATGGAAGACCGGTTGAATTATAGAGAGGGATTTTTCGCATTGTTGTGTTTTTGGGGTGTGTTTTCTGTATGTCGTAAAGCGAATTTGTGGCATTTTTAATAGTCGGAGTGATGCTTGCGTTTTCAATGATACAAATATCCGGTATTTTTTTCTAGCCAAAATAGATCGGGTAAGCCCTAGGGTTATTATTTATTACTGTACAGTTATTGTAGCAGAAAATATAGGTTTTACTAGGTTACATTTTCGATCGGATATGCGAAAATTCATTTAGTCATTGTCATTATTATTGTTCTGTTTATTTTAATAACTTACTACTGTGGGAATTGATGTGACGAATAATAAAATAAACAGAGTAGTATTTAAAGTTAATTGTTTTAATAGAAAATATATCTTTCCTTGACTTTTTATATCCTTTTCAACAAGTTTTGACATAAAGTCAACAAGTTTTTTACAATTTTCTGATATTTGCTGGATTACATCCTTAATTATTTTTATGTGTATTATACAACAGGGCATCTAAAAATAAATAAATAAAAATTTTGTTTAAAATTTGATTCGGTATAACAAATTTTTTAATAAAATAGCTATACAAATAAGCTATTTTTTAATGTATAAAACAAGATGTGGTCGCGCCCCAGGAGGATGAGAAAAAATAAGAATAAAGGTTATCTCCATCCTTATATTTAGCCGTGCCCCAAGTCAAAACTGCTTTAATGATATTGGGACCGGGGCCTGATAAAAACCGCCAACCTCATAATCAATGCCGATGAGTTTGTTTGAAACGAATTGTCTAAGGTAGAACAATAGTTTCTTAAAGACCAAATAAGCCATCGAAAAAAGCATGATTTGTGGAGTAGTTCAAATTATTATCGAAAAAATACAGAAAAGGACAGAAAAGCAGCAGCAACTACCGAACCCAAAACCGGGGACATTTAACATCATTTAGAAGACAACTCTTCAAATGAAGAAGACTTCTTCCAAGGTGAACATTTTAAGTATTCCTATTATTTCGCGAATAGAATGCGAAAATTGATGCTACCACCCTTGAAGCTGCCAGTTTGGTTTCTTCAGACAAACCAGCCAACGTGGCTGATAAAACATTATCGAAAAACAACTACAGAAAAACGAAAATACATGTAGCCAAATTTGACGAAAAGGTAAATTATGGGGATTGTATTTTGATGAGAGCAAGGATCAAACTATGATTTTAAGTAAATGACAGCATACTATTAAACAGAAATAATATGTCGCACTTATATAACTTTAGTAGTCCACCTTCTGAAAACTAGCTCAGTCTATGTGTCAATGTAGCTGATAATAAAAATAAAACCCCTTTCCCTCCATATTGGCAACACTTATGTAAATAAATTTTGCCCATTCTGAAAATATCTTATTGGCTATGATTGCAGATTCGGTGTATTTTAAAATGTAGAATAGTAGTTTGTGCAACAAGAGTGGATATGGACAATCCACTCGAGTTGTACAGTATAAATTTTTTCTATGACCCATTAACGAAAATCTACAAATTTAAAAAATTATTTTAGGTTATTAAGACAAAATACCTAATTTAATAAAATTATAACTTTCACTAATTTATAAAATAAAACATGAAAAAAAAATAATTTAATAGTCTCCGCCCAGATTTGAACCCGGGCTTCTCACATGGGAGACAGATGCCGTATCCTCAACTCTACCTTTACTATTAGGATTTTATTTTTATAACTCGTATTTAAATTAGTTTTATATAGTTTAGGATTTTTTTTTCAAAATATGGACCAAATAAAAATAAAAATGCTATTGTCCATCAATTATTCTACACAAAAATAGCTCATTTTAATATGTATTTAATCTCAATAACTAAAAAATATACTAATAATTAGTTTGATAAAATTGTCACTTTTAAAATTTTAAAAATAATAATAGTTAAGTGACAAAAATATGAACTATGATTGGTAGATTTCATTTTTTTTGGAGTGTCCTTATTATCTAGAATGGATATAAAATATATTCGTTTAGTTGAAGCAATAGCATACTTTTTTTTGTATTCTGAGCACAGATAAGCCAGTATCCATATGGGTATAGCAAAAAGACTTTTAACCTATTTAAACTACCTTATATCAAGTGGGATGCTAAAGATTTCATCGACATAAATGATTGAAGCAAATAAATGTACCTGATGTCCTAGTGACAGCAATTAAAAACAAATCCATTATCACAGTGGTAAAAAAAATTTCATGTCACACTCAAGGTGTCGAGCTATGTGTAAAGATTGTCAGTGAGGTATCAAGAAAAGTTTGTGGACATGATGCAGGAGATGATTACATTAGAGTAAAATTTGAGGCAGAGAGTAATCTTTAATCATTTGAGAATAAAACACATAACGATTTCAAAAATAAAACAGAAGTAATAATTAGAGATTTTGAAGATGTAGAAGGTTTGGAATGGAGGAGAGGTGTGGAATTAGACAAGAAGTCATCTAATCGTTGTGAGTTTTAGGTTGCGTAGGTAAGTGATGTGATGAGATGAGATGAGATTAGATTAAAATAAATTAAGATAATTTCTTTTTCTTAGTTGGTGGCACCGGATATTAACCGATAGGCTATCTAAGTATACAAATGATAAATTAAGTTATATATTTAAAGTGATTTTAGGTAATTTTAGCTTTTACTTAAGTGAAGAGCTGCTTTTCCTATTTTAAGTGATCGTGAGCACTGCTAAATATACTTCTTTTGCTCTTTTTTTTAATAACTATATTAATGCAAAACTTTATGACGTAACCGAAACAACATAAGACCTTAAAATTTTGATCTACGTAGGGAAGCAGCTAAAACGCAATATACATTTAGTGAAGTTCTCGTCACCATCCACAACTTTTTGTCACTAAATCAAATACCTTCTCAAAAATTTTTTTTGACCTGCCCTGTTGTACAATTATTTATATTACAAAATAAAGCTTTTACAATATTACACAGATTTTTTATAGGTTTTAGATCTACTAAGTTTGCTGGCTATTGAAAGCATGAACTCGTTTTGTACCTGAAATATCCTTGAAATATTTTATCACGACCTTCATGTGACATGAAACAAAACTCTTGTTAAAAAATTCAATTGGAATCAACTTTCCTTAGTTTAACTTAGTCTTTGTTTAAGCATATAACTTTATTTTTAAGAGGTACTAATAAGTGTCAATTTAAAATTATGTGTAGTATTTTTGTAACAAATTTGATCCAAGTTTATCAAATAATTTGTATAATGTGAAAATTATAGACTATTTTGACAATGTGGAGCAGTACAATAAGCCAAAAAGTTAGAAAAAAACTGGTCAAAACAAGTCGTATTTCTCCATCATCGTTTTTTTCTGTGTGAATCTGACCAATTTTAGGTGAGCTATAGCCTTAGCTCCTTTTAACATTGCCACTGCACGTGATTTTTTTTCTTCAGCGTTACTATATGTTGCGTCTTCACAACGCCGTTTGTTCCATTTAAATAGGACCAAAAGTAAAGAAGATATATAGACGAAGGTCCTTTTGTAATTAACAATACACGTGATTTTTTTTTCAGCTTTATTCTATACCACGTCTCCTCCATAAAGCCTTTTTTCCATTTGAATCTAAACAATATTAACTGAGATATGGATTTAGGCCCTTATAGCATTTCTAATATGCGTAGTTTATATCTTTAACGTTAATTTATACTCATTCACGTAAACGATGGTCGCCATCTTCTTGATCTCCAGAAGCTTAACTTCTCCCCAGTGGGGCCTCCTCCAGTTCTTAGAATTTCCACAGGCTTCTTCAGCATAAGGTTAGATGATTTTTTATAAAATAATGCTAATGTTAGATGACTTTTAGCAAAATGACGCTTAGGTTAAATGGCTTAGCGATGAATAGGCGATGAATAGGCATCACGTGAACGGCATGTTTAGCAGGTTAGTCTGCGCATGCCTGCGCTGACACTGTCTTTGTTCATCTACTAATACTATTTCGAACATTTTTGTTCAATATACATCTTAGGTTGAAACTTCGACCCGGATGGATCTATTGTAGCTTATATCTAAATTATATTTAACCATATAAGCCACATATTCTGATAAAGACCATGGATGAGTTGGATGAGACTTGTTTAAAGTGAGCTTCTGTCGGATAAATCGGAAGATCTAGAACTGAGTTCGTTCCAAAGTGGAGAACAATGCCCTGTCATCAGTCCCGTGCCAATACATAAAGCATTCCTATACTCATTTACTCCATCCGGATGTGTTTGCACCAGAATATTTCTCAAGTTCACAAGTAAGTGTGAACGAGAGAGTTATGGTATGTTTTGAAATAATTTAATTGGAAGTGCTATTTGCAATACCAAGAAATATTTCTGGTCCTATATTATCAAACGTCCCTGAAGCCAAACGAAACTAACTTTGTTTTGGGAACCGAGACACTCAATGGTGTTTATAATTTACCTTGGCAGAAAAGGTAGAAAATTATATGAGCAATACGATTTTTTCCTAAATAAAAAACATAAAATGTATGAGCTGAAAACAATATATTCTAAATGGTGTCTTTAGCGATGCATGCAGTCAAATTAAAATTAAACACAATTCTCTTAAAACCAATACTATTTACCCCTGCATAATTTTCTTTAAATGATTTGTATTATTCTTGTAGATTTTACTATTAAAGTAAACCCATAAAAAATAAACAAAAGGCGACAGGTTATGGCGCCTAAGAGACCATAGGTCGGTGCTCCAAAAGGCATCTTGCTCTCATGAAAACGGATCTATTGCACCAAAATTCCTTGAACAGCTTTCGACCTTTACTCAGACAGCCGGTGTTGCCGTGTCTGACAAAACATGAACACACAAAATGCTCATACCCTTTTTGGCCACCTTGTAGTTCCAAACCAGCTTTAAAATAATACGGTTTGGGTCTCGAGGATTTCGAGTCTAGATCAGGCTACCATTTGGCTAATCGAAAAGATATATATAATCTTGTTAGCGGAAAGAAAATTATTCAACACTCTCACTCCCAATTCTATATCAACCATTTCTGTTTGGCAGATCGTGGTTGAAGTGCCTAGATTAACTGATATGTTAAATCTTGGTTTATGGCTAAAAACTCCCCCTTCTACTTCTTTTTCAGTTTTGGAGCCGTCCGTGCACAGTGCATAGTTTACTTGGGAGAGGATTTTATCTACCATGCTTTATACGTCTCTTTTTGAAATGAGGTCGCTCTATGATTTTTATATGTACTATTGTGGAACTAATGTGTCTAAGACCATACTAAAAATGTGGTGGCTATTAATCTCACTCTTAGTTCTTCCTTGCATTGACTATCCACCGGTAGGACACCATCCAGACCTCCTAATTTACATCTACATTTTTCGAGCCCTACTTTTGGAAATAATTTAAAGAGACTACAATGTTTAGCGTTATATTGAAAACTTGTTTAAGAGAAAGTAACTCAATCGAGGAAATTGTTTATTTTTAAAATCATGCTTCAACGAGCTTTTATTTGATACCCCAATTTAATCTTTTCCCAAAACTGATCCCTAAGATAAATGATTTTCGTTTATTCTAAAACTTATTAATTTTTAGTTTTATCCGAACCATACATTTTGGAGATAATTTGGGGAACATCATTGTTAAAGCTTATTTTTTTTTAAGAAGTAACGCAGACGAACGTATTACACATTTTTAAAATCGTGCGTTAAAGAGCATTTATTTTACTCTTCAACTTTTTTAACTTCCAATTTAACCCCACCAAAACTGACCCAAAATATAAAAACTCCACAATATTAGTTAACGCCTGTATTCGAGCCACACCACTGCTGTTTCAAATTTAAATGGGGTACGTCAAATAGTCTCTGAATAAAACGTTTGTGAAAGACATATACCGAGGTGATTATCCCATAAGTGTTCCTTTTTTTCAAATTGGGGACGTCTTTATTCGTCTTTTCCTTTTTCACAAGAACACTTCGACATCGTATTTACTCTATGTTTACCACAGAGATTGGGAATAAGCCGAAATCCTCTGAAAAAGCAATGTGCAACTTTATTACGGTTTGTACCAGATAAATATTTGAAAAGTAAACTAGATCTTTTTAAACGATGCGCTGAATGTATGAGATTTCTAACAAACCAATTAATGTACGTTACCCGGTTGTA